TAAGAGACACTTTTGAAGATTGGGGCTATAGGAGCCAATTGGGGGCAGTTTCTTTGCGGACCTGGAAAGAGGTGGCGTCGAAAGCCTCTATGTGTAGTTCTATTGATATTCGCGGACGACTACCTGCAAAGCGTCTGTACTCTTCGTCTACCGATGCGAGGTTCCAGCGTTGAAGCCTGCGCAGACAGCCTATTACGGTGCCAGTTCTATGCCGACCCATTGTGCAGCATACCAGTATAGGGAACTGGGATTTGTCTGTGATTATGCGAAGGGCGTCGTTTATTGCATTTTCAGTAAGGCCTTCCCATGCGTGTGCGCCCTCTGTGGCGAGGCCTAGATGATGAAGGGTGATATCGTTGTCGTCAGTAAAGGCCAGGAATGCCTCGCTGGGGTCCTCTACGGCTAGCCAGACAACTGTCCGAAGGTTGAGCTGTGCAATGAACGGGAAGTTTATGGGCACCGGTTGGCCCGATCTGAAGAGTCCAGCCTCGACAGGACAAAAATTAAGAGGCGGGACTAGTTTGTTTATGGAGTAGCTAGTGTGATCCATTCTCGTGGAGTACGTGAAGGTAAAGAAAGGCGAAGAGACAATAAAGTTTCTGCCCAGGAGACACTTTCGGGAGGGTTACACGAATTGACCAGCGTCTGCGACGCTATTTTTTAGCACAAAAGAGAAAATGAGGGGCAAAACGCTGTACATCCGGAACTTGAACGTGAAACTAGGCGTACAAGATTTCAAGGAATCACTGAATACGATATTCAGCGCGTTCGGACCGGTACTCGAGGTGTCTGTCAAGAAGAACATACGAATGCGTGGTCAGGCCTTTGTATCGTTCGCGCACAGTGAGGATGCCGACCAGGCACTAAACGAAATGCAGGGGTTCCCGCTGTTTGGCCAGCCAATGGACATACAGTACGCTAAAATTCCGTCGGATGTAGTGGTGTTACAGGAGAACGACACAGAACAGCTTGAACACCACAGACTAGAGCGTATAAAGGCTAAAGAGAAACGGCTTGCTGAATTGGCTAACAAACCACAGTTCCAGAAACTCTCTAGAAATTCAAGGAACCAGGCTGACGACTTCTTGCCGCCGAACAGGACTCTCTTCCTCCAAAACCTGCCGCCACACTCTACCGTTGACGATCTTACTAAGATCTTTGATGCATACCCGAACCTCAAAGACATCAGAGTCGTTCCAGGCGGTACCGGCTTGGCATTTGTTGAGTACGAAGACGAGCCCAGTGCGGTCACTGCGAAACAGGCATTAAACAAACTGGTTGTCGAAGATCACGAAGTCCACGTGACGTATGCCAGAAAATAAATAACACCCATCAATACGTCTCCTTGCGATGACGAACGCCAATTAATGACATAGTACGAAATACAAAATAATGATTGTGACATAAGTTATTGTATCAGAGATAGAGTCCGGTTTCTGAAACATTTAGCAGTACCATATGGAGTCGAGTGGAGTAGAGCGAATAGTGTATGCCATGAACACCGTGAACACCGTGAACACCGTGAACACCGTGAACACCGTGAACACCGTGAACACCGTGAACACCGTGAACACCGTGAACACCGTGAACACCGTGAACACCGTTCCAACTGTTGTATTGTGAACTCAGAAAATAACGTCCTCGTCCTTTTCCGATATCAATTGGCCAGGTTCATCTACTAATTTGCTTTCTGCCAATTCAGCTTCTGCTCTCAGTGCAGCATCGGTTTCTCTTTCAAGGTCGGCAGCAGCAGCGTCCTTCTGTTTCTTATCTTGAACCTTTTTCAATCTGTAGAACTCCTCACGATCCAGCTCGTCCAATTCAGACATAATGTACTTAATTGTATTCTCTGTTCTGGGGATAATAACATGCTCAATAGCGTTGACACGTCTGTTAGTGACTTTAATGACCTCATCCAAAATAATGAAGGCAGTCTGCAACGAAGCTAGATCTACTAAGGTCTCGACTGCTCTGGAATAAACATCTTTAGCTTTTTGAATTTGCTGACCACCGCGACCTAGTCCCGTTAATTGAAAGTCGTTACTTTCCTCCTCATAAGCCTCAAATTGCGGTAGGTATACTCCTGACACATTCTCCTGACGAGCTCTCACGCGGAACCTTGCGGACTTAGCGGCCTCCTGAATTTGGTACCCGATATTCTCGCCCGTAGCATAGTTCACTTCCGCCAGCGAAAATGCCGCTACTTGCATGACTTTACCCATTTTGCGTTTAGCTTCGTCAATTCGTCGAGTAATTTCTCGAAACCGCTTCGTCAATGCTTCTGATTTCCGCTTCAGTAAACTATGGCCAGTTGTTGCACCTTTCAGTTTGATTTTCATGCCCGTCAGCGACATACGGGTCGGAAACACTTGTTCGCTATTATGTTAGATACCTGATTGCTCCTTTCTCCTGTCTTTTCTCGTCATTTCTACTTACCGATTGCCTGCGCCAGACATTGTTGGTCGATTTAGTGTAGTGGTGTAAAAGACTAGGTAAGGGTTGTTAGTTGGCCTTGCGGCCTGTATCTTACCTGCCACACCCTTGGGACCAATTTTTGACCCGCGAATTAAACACCCACCTTGATCGCCCACCCACCCACTACCACTACTACACTCTCCATGCTCACCATGGATCTAGACCGGTCCGACATTCCTTACGAGCTAGATGTTCTTCAACATCCAGACTCTCTAAATGCGTGGCTGCGCTATATTAATCACTTACAGTCCCACAATAGACCTGCACGGGCTCTTGTGGTCGTGTTCGAAAGGGCCTGTACACATCTGGATCGCTCCTACAAACTCTGGAAGCTCTATCTCGATTTCCGCGTCCAGTACCTAAAAGGCGTCTCCCCAATTGACAACCCGGAACATTTTACTGCCGTCAATAACTGCTATGAAAATGCTCTTACCTTACTTTACGATATGCCCGTTCTATGGCTAGACTATATTGCTTTCCTCCAACTACAGCCCTCACTGACGCAGATCCGTCACACCTTTGATCGCGCTCTCAGATCTCTCCCAGTCTCTCAACACCACTTGCTTTGGCCATCATACCTCGAGTTTGCCGAAACTGCTGGTGGCAAAACATTCGCCTCAATATGGTCGCGCTATGTTCAATTCGCTCCAAAGAAACGTGAAATCCTCATCGAAAAACTCCAGCAACTCGAGCTGTATACCGACGCGGCTTCAAACTACAGACACATACTCTCGGATAAGTACTACAAATCTCACAACGGCAAAAGCATGTACCAGCTACATGCTGCCTTTGCTGCCTTACTCGTTCATCACGAGATCGACCTCCCTAACTTCTCTACTCCGGCCTTCATTCGCCAGTCGTTGCACAAATTCCCTGACCAGACTGGGAAACTATACACCGACTTGGCAAAATATTACATTGCAAACAACAACCTTGAAAGAGCAAGGGATACTTTTAAGGAAGCCTTGTCTACTGTTACTACTGTTAGAGACTTTGTGCATGTCTTTGAAGCATACACCTCTTTCCAAGAACTTGAGATCTCCAAGCTCATGAGCCAAATAGAATCTTCAGATACCAAGGAAACGGAATTAGAATCATTGCTAGATTTGCGGATGTTCCAGTTTGAAGAAACACTCTCTCGTCGTTTACTTCTGCTGAGCGATGTTCGTTTGCGTCAAGATGCAAACAACGTTCAAGAATGGATCGACAGATTTGACATTGTTACCACATACGACGCAAAAGTCCAGGTATTTGTTGACGCCATTGAACAAATTGATCCAAAGAATGTTCATGGTAACTTGTCTGAACTCTGGGTGCTTTTTGCGCACTTCTACGAGTCCTTCGAGGAGTTCGATAATGCACGGGCTATTTATAACAAAGCTACCAATGTATTTTACCGGTCTCCACACGAACTAAGCGATATCTGGATTGAATGGGCTAAGTTTGAGATTCGTCTAAATCGTGTTGAAGCAGCATTAGAGGTTCTGAAAACTGCAACTAGTCATGATCCTAATGTCAATATCGACTTTCTTGACAGTTCAATACCGTCACAGCAAAGACTACACAAGTCAATTAAGCTTTGGACCTTTTATGCTAGTGTCGTTGAAGCAACTGGATCTATAGACGCGATCAAAAGTGTCAATGATCAGATGTTTACATTGAAAATCGCTACAGTTGGCTCAGTCGCAAGATACGCGCAGGCTCTGCAAGATTATGGTTATTTCGAAGATTCGTTTAAGGTATATGAGCAGGGGATAGCAATTTTTGCATATCCAGCTGCATTTGAACTCTGGAATGTCTATCTAATACGAGCGATGGAACGCAACCTTCCTATTGAACGAATGCGACAGTTGTTTGAGCAAGCACTGATTGATTGCCCTGCTGAGCTGTCTAAGTATATATACATTGCATACGCATTATATGAAGAACAAAACGGACTATTTTCGTTTGCTCTTAAATTAATTAAGCAAGCTGTTGAGAAAGCTGTTGCCAAAGATAAAGTGACATTGCTGGACTACTACATAGGCAAATGTTGTGCATTAGAAGGAGTTGATACAGCGCGAAAAGCCTTTGAGTTTGCCATTCAGCAATGTGCTGACAAAGACGCTTCTATGTTCTGTTTGAGATATGCTGAAGCAGAGATAGCAGTCAATGAAATAGCCAGAGCTCGTGAAATATTCAAGTATGGAACACAGCTAGCTGACCCGCGAATAGATTCCCGGTTCTGGGAGACCTTCAAAGAATTTGAAGAAACTAATGGCGATGAGGAATCAATCAAGGAAATGATAAGATTGAAAGAGTCGGTGGAACATGAAAGAAATACTAGTAAAGACTACGTTTTTGTCCAAGCGAGAAATGCTTTGGAACAGGATCGACAGCCGGTTGGTTTTGTGAAATCTAACGGAAGCTAATGACTAATGACAAAATAATGATATATGAGATTTAATATAAAATAAAATAAATTACAACTAGTGATTCGTTTACCTTTAATCCAAAAAAAAAAAGGAAACATTCAAAAAGAAAGACTTCGGTACCGGGAATCGAACCCGGATCTGCCCGGTGAAAGCGGACCGTGCTAGCCGTTACACTATACCGAATTGTTGTTGTAAACGTCACTTCTCTGACGTACATAAGGTTGCAAACTCTAGTTAATCAAAATAGACATTCTGCACGTTATGTCACATACTTACAATTTATACACAGTTCGAATCAGTTAGCAAATATTTCATTTAAGAATGTGTAGGCAGCTACTAGAGTATTGCCAGCACTTATAGTGGGAAGTTGGACAATTCAGGTTCAGGAACTGAAAAAAGCGGCTATTACAGCGATTACGCGATTAAACCTCGTCGGAGACATAGTGGATCCAATAGAGACGCAGCTAGTATGCATAACTTGCGGTGGTTTTATAGTCTTGACATGGTTTCAGTTAATGTCGTTATGTATCCGAATGTGCAGGGTGGATCACAACAGATAGAAAGTGATCTTCAGCTATGGTCGTTCTGCAGGGAGGGTGCCTGAGATCATATAGATCGACAGCTGGCACGCTAATTGACTGTATAGAAAGTTCATGCGCAAACCACAGTACCATTAGCTTGCAATTAACATCAAAGCATTGTGATGTTTCTTTATCAAGGAATAAGTCACAACATGTGCAATGGTTTCAGACAATGGTGTTTGGTCTAACGAGGATATAAGGTTTAAAGGCTAAGTTGCGCGCATGTTGCATTTGCATTGGGATAACAGCACGGGGCCCTTTTGCCCTTTTCTTTGAGGTTCCTGGTAACGTGTTCTTGAGTTGGCCCCGGATTCTATTTAGGAACCAATCGCATTTTGTTATAATTTTTGCGAAATATATACAAAAATTGTTAAGGGCACTTGTTAAGAGGGACTAGCACTTTTGAAGAGATACAAGGAGGGCACCCGCTATAAAGCTAACTCGCCTTAGATTCTGACACCTTAGAAGACAAGTAGTACCGAAATAAAAGAAACAATGGCATTAAGATCAGGACTTGCATACAGACCAGAGCCGACTATTGGCAGATATGAAATGCCTAGCTCACCTATTGACGGAGGAGGATTTTCATTTGGCCACGATAATAGCGGCGTTTTGGGCTCAGTCAAGACCAAAGCGGAACAACTCGAAAATATCATTAACCCAGTCTCGAACACTCTGAGACCATATTTGCCTTCCATTGGAAGAATGCTTGTCATTCTTACTTTCTTAGAAGACTCTTTAAGATTATTAACACAATGGAACCAGCAAGCCTTCTATTTGAGAAATTACAGACACGTTCCTTACATTTTTGTCGCTGTGTTCCTGCTCTCGAACATATGCTCCATGTTAGTTGGATCTGCATTAATTATGTTGCAAAAACATGTCATGTTTGCGGTGTGCTTATTGCTGGCAGTCGTAGTGGGCCAAGCTCTGATATACGGCCTTATCTTTGATCTCTCATTTCTTTCTAGAAACCTATCTTTGGTAGGAGGCCTGGTCATGGTACTCAGCGACTCCGTGATGCGCAATAACGTCTCACGTGGGTTTCCTGGTTTGCCAGAGCTTGAGGAGAAAGATCGAAAACGTTACTACCAATTAGCAGGTCGCATCATGCTTGTCTTCTTGTTTATAACGTTTTTATTCTCTGGCCAATGGACTATCCCTCGTCTCGTCGTATCGGTGCTCTCGTTGGCGCTCTGCCTGATGGTAGTGCTCGGCTTCAAGACTAAACTGTCCGCCGCCTTCCTCGTCTTTATCCTCACTATTTACAATTTCTCTGCAAACCACTTCTGGACCTACGCGACTACTAGTGCTCGACGCGACTTTTTGAGATACGAATTCTTCCAGACTATGTCCATTGTAGGCGGTCTCATTCTTGTGGCTTCCTCCGGCGCTGGTGCCATCAGCTTCGACGAAAAGAAGAAGGTTTACTAATTCCTTGGCAATCCGCATTGGCGTGCAGCCTACGAACCACTCGAACAAATGAAAAAGGCATAATTTATGATCTAAACTGTGATTATCTCGCAACCTGTCAAAAATAAGACACTACTTCACTAGCGTTCTGTCAAACAAATAATACCAGTAGTCACTAGTCCCTGTCTCAATCCTGTTCAAACGCTGGGTCCCGCTCCCTCAGTGCGTTGCTATGCGAGACGAAGGGGGCGCCTCTTTCCCTTGACCTACGAATACACTCTGGCTCTTTCCCTCCTAACTACCACTTTTCTTTACTCCTTTTGTCAACCTCTCCTCTCTCCCTAAAAAAAAAGAGCTGCAAAAATGGGCATGTCAATTTCGAAGCTCGTAATGGGCCTATTTGGGCTTAAGGTACGTACTTTTACACCCTAGTTTTCCACCATCTTGCGGCTACTATAGTGTCTGCCGTTGCATCCTATACCTGGTTTTTTCATCCTCTTCTCCGCGACGCTTGCGCGTTCTCCTTCCTTTTTCGGTCATTTATCCTCTTTGTCTATACTTCTGTCTAGTATATGCATTTTTACGCATATCGACTTGTTTTTTTTTCGATCGCCTCCCAGATTTATCCCTCTATGTTTAGTCTTGTGCGCTTATACTATTTATTGTGAGATTGCGAGGGGGGCTGTAAACCGGGACCCAACGCACGCAGGCTGCTACACATACTGATGGGAGAGGCCAACAACGCACAACAACGACACCCGAAAGCATAATGTAGATGCATCCAGCACCAGTTTTGTTTTTACGGGAGTGCTGCAAATCGTCGTGGGTATCTTATATATCTTTAGAAGATGGATATTTGTCCGGCACTCACTTGGCTCCAAACTGGGAATTGAATGGAATTTCTCGGCACCTTGCTATGTTCACACATACTAACTTATCTCTTTAGGAAATGCGCATTTTAATGGTTGGTCTTGATGCCGCTGGTAAGACTACTATTTTGTATAAATTGAAGCTCGGTGAGATTGTTACCACTATCCCCACCATCGGCTTTAATGTCGAAACTGTTGAGTACAAGAACATCTCCTTCACAGTATGGGATGTCGGTGGACAGGATAAGATTCGTCCTCTGTGGCGCCATTACTTTCAGAACACTCAAGGTATCATTTTTGTAGTCGACTCTAATGATCGTGAACGTATTTCCGAGGCGCGCGAGGAGCTGCAAAGGATGCTTAACGAGGACGAGCTCCGCGATGCTCTCCTTTTAGTCTTCGCTAACAAGCAGGATTTGCCTAACGCTATGTCTGCCTCTGAAATCACGGAGAAGCTTGGCCTTCATTCTATTCGTCAACGCCCCTGGTACATTCAAGCTACTTGTGCCACTTCTGGTGATGGCCTTTACGAAGGTCTCGAATGGCTTTCCTCCAACCTTCGCAAGAGGTCATAGATATTTACAGTTCTGCTACTTGGAGTTTGTATGACTATATAATTTCCCTATAGCTATATGTGCAGTAGAGTTATCCAAAGATTCAGCACACAACCTTAGTGTACATGAGTAGTTAAACCGCGTGGGTCATTGCATTAGCTAGAACATTGAGGAGACGAACGATCCGTATTGATCACATCCTGCCATGTGGTATCTGTCCAGGGCTTGACTCTGCAGATCGATGAGCGCTTTTCGTCGCTTTTCGTCACTAGGATGTGTTTGTAAGAAATCAAATCTGGGCGAACCAGCTAGGCCATATTGCCTCATAGCTTGCTCCATGCGCGACCAAAACTGTGGGGCATCCGCAGGATTGTAGCACGCGGACGACATCAGCATCAGTCCAATAGCGTCAGCTTCTGCTTCCTGCGCTCTGCTGGACGGCAGCTCAAACAGCAGATTCTGTAGATTCGTAATACTGTTCGGGATTCCGGCAGAGATGGCTAACAGCGAAATGAATAGGGAAACTGGTACTCTTGAAGTCTTCTCGGCGATATGCCTGGCCACAACGTGAGATATCTCGTGCGAAAGCACCGTAGCGAGTCCAGCATCGTTCCGTGCAATAGGCAGTATAGAAGTGAATACGAAGACGTGACCGTTTGCAAGAACGAATGCGTTCGGTGGGTCTTTTGAGTTGATAACGGTGACTTTCCAGTCGATGTTCCGCATGTGATCCGGCCAGAGGTCTCGAGGTGGATTCTTCGTCAGTCTCTTTACAATTTCCTTTACTTTGCGCACTGTGGGGTGTCCGTCTGGTAAAATATAGTTTCTGTATGACTTAATTGTAGATCGCTCTGCACTTCTGGCCAGATACATATCCAGCCAGGACGGCGCCAGGATCACTCTCAGGCGTTGAGTGACAGGTGCCCGGTCCAGATTGGCCACAGCTATGATACCTACAAACCCGCCAATGTATGCGGCCCATTTTAGGACATCGCGGCTGTAGAGGAATGCGATCCGGCGCTCGTTTAGTGTGTAGTATCTGTTCTCGCCGAAACGTCTGTACACCGACTGTCTAGCTTGTGCAGATCTATGGAAGGTCCGAGCTCCGCTCGGGGCCGTGGCCTGCGGGCAGGCTGCTAACCGCGGAGAACCAGCTAAAACAAAGCGGCTGTTTGTTCGCAAAGGTAAAGCTGCAGAAGATATATGTGAACAGCGCTGAATTTTCATGGCGGATGTGCAAATCGAACGAAAGCTTAGTCTGGGAGACTCTACTCTACAGATCTCAATTGTGCTATACCGATACAAGATGTCTGTCATTAACGTTGCAGATAGATATACTGTCATAAAGACACTCTATGTGGAGTAAAATATCTCAATCAGGTTTACTTAGATATAATTAGTTCCAACTTACATCTCTACGCGAAACTATAGCACATATTCATTCAACAGTCATTTACCTTCACCATTAGCTATCTCCGGTTGGTTATTTCGTACTGCGCCAAAAGCACATTGTCCTTCCTGATGCTTCTTTGCCACATTATACCGCACATGAGCTCCACTACTTCCGGCTCAACTAGTTCTTCGAAAAGATGAGCGTGGTACAGGTACTTTGTTGCGTCGTCCAGTTCAACCATGAGGGCCAGCGCCAAGTCTCTGTCCATCATCCTGTTGTTGAGCATTACAATCAACTCGCTCTTCGCCTCCTTCAGCAACTGTTGGGCTTTGCCTGGTTGTCCGTTAATGTACCTTCTTACCTTGCCTAAGGC